TGACTTTTCTCATCAGCTCTGGTTAATGCATTGAATCTACAGTCAAAACTGCACTTGCTGACCCTCATGTTAGGGCTAACCTAAGGGGACTTGACATACACACAAGGGTCTGGTCTTTCTTTTCAATTGTATTTTTAATTGATTGGTAGGTTCACAGCATTTCTAGAACACAAACAGGTGATAAAATGCCTGTGCTGGCTGAAGTCTAGATGATGAGCCATAATGAAGTCTAGACCTTTCTATTTAGGAACACTTAATACCATTTTAACTTTATTTTGTCGGTATGGTTACACATTTTTTTGTTTTCTTGCCCTCAAAAATGAGCTTAAAAAGGCATTAGAAATATTAGTTTGGAATCTTAAGGTGTTTTGAAAATACAAATATGCTTAATTTGCAGTCAATTCTGGCATATTACATTGCTTAAACTAGGTAAGTGGCAGGTAATTTGTGAGGTTTGTAAACACTCTGCAAATAATTGCTTAATCTTATCCTTGCTCAAGCCTATACTCTTCTGTAGTGCTTCTTATCCCTTGAATATCTGGTGTGTATAGGGTAAGCTTAAATGATCTCCTCACCTCCGTTTAGCAGGTATGCTCTCTAAGCTTAGATACAGCCCACTGTTGTCCACAAAGCATAGAGCAAGAAGTAAAAAATACTCAGTGTGATACAAGCCTTGCTGATTATCATAGATCCATTCTCAACCCCAAAATAATTATACTTTTTATGTCAAAAGCTTTACAGCTTTACCACCTCAAGCAATATTTTACAGCTGTCATGAATGATTTATGCCATAATGACTTAAACTGCAAAATGGAGTCCTCAAAGGAAGAGCTTTCAAACATTTTCACCACAAATAACTTTATTAAAATAAGAATTTATATTCTGTATAAACAATATCTTACCTTCAACTACAATACAGATCATAAACCTATATGATTTGTGAAAATGAAATTGTGAGACAGTGAGGAATATACCATACTGCTACTTTGATATCAGAGTATAATTTTTGAATTAAGCAGATGTTAATGCCTAATGGGCAAGAATTAGAAAAAAAAATTGTTTCAAAATAATAGTTCTTGTGATTTGCCTGTATTTATCTAATGTTCTTTTTTAAAAAAGAATATTTACATTAAAAAAAGAAATTTACTGTCTCTTTAATCCCATGAGTACATTCAGTGACAACTGTGGAGCTTCCTGGGTGATGAGAACCTATAAATTCGGACGCCTGGTTTTGGCACCCACCTGTTCCCATTAACCATTTTTCTCAGTAGTAATTAATTCTTTTGATGTCTATTTCATTGCCTACTGTGGCACTACTCTAACTGGACAGAGGACTAGAACTTTGCCTGGATTATGTAAATACCCTTCTGAAAAGAAAAAGGAGCAAGGAGGGATTAAAACCAAATGTAGGCTATATTAACAATCTTATTCTGATATAAATACTGCAAGAGGTGCTACTGAGTCTTTTAGCTGCAAGCATTAAAAACTTCTGTGGAGACAGGGCACCAGTGTGGTTGGGACAAGGCCTGCTGGGTGCGTAAGAAATGCTGCCATCTCACCTCCATGCCATCTAACGACGACACAAAGCTATCACGAGTATTCTGTCCCTCTCCTCTGCATTGTCCCAGCACTGCACAGTGGAAAGGGAAGCATGCCCAGTCTAGGTAACACGTTTATAAACCTTGATATGCTGAATTTGCATTCTCTTTTGACCACTGTATCTTCTGTCTGCCGTGTTTAAGGCAGTGCAGATACAAGCAACTGCCATGTCCTGAAAAACCAACCTGCGACAAAGTTTGTTCTCGGTCTTAGGTCTGCCTTCAAACATGTGATCTGGACACAAGATTAAAGCCAACAAACAGCAGCATTCAGCCTTGCATCATCAAGATGTTTAACACTCACAATCTTGCACTTTCTTACATCTAGAAGAATGGACCATAGACCAGTAGGGAACATCAGACTCCTAATTCCCAGTATGTATGTAATACCATTTTTCTAGTGCAATAATTTCCTTTTAAGTTGAATTTTAAAGCTGTGATACTTTAGAACTATGTGAGGTGGCATTTAAAATTAAAAGGGAAAAGCACTAGTTCTAGAATTATTTCCTTTCTGATCTCTGCATTGCTGGACTTCTGATGGCAGATTAGCTTTGTAAGTGAGAGGCATATGATCCCACTGACATTTACTTTACTTTGAAATATTAGGAAAAAACCTAGTATAATCAGTAGCTTATGCACAGTAAATGATAGTGTGATGTAGAATATTTCTGATTCACTGGGCATTTATTAATGACTGTGTAATACACCTCTGAAACTCCTGCTGGTGGAACCACACCTTCACGAGCTGTCTTTCTCCTCCTTATGCTTAGTATTACGTTAAATATTATACAATGGGTGGCTATAAAATATAATGTCAAAACAAACTTTCAAGCAGTGGGTAGTTCATTGGAGTAACTTGGTTTACTCACATGTAGAAAGTTGTATTTCTATCTGTGCTGTTACCGACCTCTCAAAATATTCTGATATTCACTCAGCTCACAGCACAAAATAAGTCACTAACCAGGCACTAAACTATCAGATTTTTAGAAACTTCTTTAAACTAATTTTTCTTCAGAACCTGGAGAAAGTCCTTGTTAGGTATCACCATTCTGTATATTTTATAATATACAGAGTATGTTATACATAAAGTATATATACACACTAAATATATTTCAAAAACAAATTTACAAATTTAAAAAGGGAAGTAAGTGAAGAAGTGAAGATGCAAAGTGAAGCATGTATTTTCAGTGATTTAGAAAAAATGTAGAATATGCTTGCTGGCATTTATTATATCCATCAGGTACAGGTAGTTTCAATTTTATGATACCACATAATCTTCAAATCTTTTTATCACATTTTGCAAAGAAATTGAACATTATGTGGAACAAAAAAAAAGCCTACATATACAAATTATCAAGCTGTCAGACATTTATGCATTTGAGTGTCAGACCTATCTTGTATTTAGTCAATTTTTACCTGTACTCGGTGATTTGATATCTTAAACGATATTTACAATTCAAAATAATTCATCTGTATTTGTTTAAATTTAGCAGCGCATATAGTGCACATGGTGAGTCCTGTTTACCAGTAAAATTTTGAGGAATTCAACGCAAATTTATCTAGAACATTGTTGTCTGTACCTCTGAAATTCTTTAACCTTCAAACTTATGAACTAGTAATTTAAATAAACTATTCACAGAAGCGAAGTTACTGAAAACCCTTACGCATAAGATTGTTTACACTGAATAATCCATAACTCTCATTTATAATGTTCTTCAAAATTCAAAACTATTTACAAAAGATATGGCAATCTTTACAGACAGTTTTAGTTTGGTTTGCCTCAAACAGATTATGGTGTGCTGCATGATGCCAGAATACAGCGTTTTAGAAAAATATTTATTTACAGTCATTGACAGATAAGCAGTACTTTAGTTAAGCACCTTTCCCTCCCTCCTAATATCTTGGGAGCTGAGGCATTTTTAAATGACCGTATCTCAAAACAGTGCTCCAGGCTGGTGGCTGTGAAAGTTAGCAATGACATTCTCCTTTTGCAATATTATTTTTAACACATGCCAAGTTAACACAAACACAGGCTAGATGTGTAAAAGACACACAGTGTCAGGTCTCCTGAGAAATCTATGTTCAAGACATGGCTTCAACAACAAATCTTGACCAAAATCTGCTCCAGACCACCGAACCAGATCTAAGCATAAAGGACTCTATGGAGAATGTGCTAAGAATATGCTTAAATATTGGTAGCATGGGTAGCATGGCTGGCCCGAGTCCTATCTGAATTATACCAACCTAAGCTAAAAACAATATTACTGAAGTCTCTCCAAGATAACAACAGAATTATTGAGCTCAGTGTTTAACTCTGCGACTTTAAAATGCAAAAGAATCCATTGCATGTGATTCTAAAATTGATGCAAACAACACACTGGCACTTCTCCAGAACTAATTTAAGCTCAGCATTTGAATATGAATTTCCTTATCCTTCTCCCAAGAATGTACACAGAAAGAGACAGAATAAGGTACACCACGCTTATCCATTATTTGGATTTGTTTGAAAGACGGATGTTTCTGTAAATAACCCTGCCTAATTAGGGAAAAAACCAAACCCACCAAACCCGACATATAACTATTATGCATCATAATTAGTTTTCATGCATATGCATTTTTAAATCTGCAAACATAGTAATTTATTTATTTTAGGCTCTTAACAGGAAAAAAGCATCAGCCTAGCAGATTTAGCCATTCTTCACATATATTGAGTGTTCACTGACTAACAAGGAAACTCTTCATAGTTTAACCATCCCAAAATTTTTCCTCAGACAACATAATTCTAGGACAACTTCTATGGTTCTGTTGCAGGTAGTCCAACTTCACAATATCACATCTCTGAAAAAAGCTTGTCCCTTTCTTTGTAACCTACTGCTTTCGTCATGACAGGCCAATTTTTGCTACTTGTAACCTTGTACTTTTTCCAGTCACATACTGCATTTAAATCAAGGTATGGTTCCAACTGTGTGAGGCAGGCAGAATTATGCCCCCTGAGAGTGACAGATGATTCCTATGTCCTGTGAGATGAAACAGTTCATAAAAATTAATATTTGCAGGATGCCCCTTCTATGCTTGTATTATCTATTCATGGTTGTAGGGCTGTTTACTTTAGGAGATTTACATCTGCGTTAAACCAACGGAGAGAACTTTTGTTCAACAGTTGCAAACACAGTGCTAGCTTCATTCAGCTATTCGAGGCAGCGTGGTGTGCTACACTCTATACACCCACTGCTTTCAGGGCAGATTCCCTTGCTGCTACACATAAGTGTATTTCACTGGACTTCAGAGAAATGACAACACTGCTCCAGAAAAGGGTCTGGCCAGCATATCATACACACTTCTTTTACCAATCAGCTCATAACCAAGCACACGAAAAGTCTTGAAAATAAAAACAGATTTTACCATCTTTGTGATAATAGGTGACTTCTACTTTCCTCTCCTCTGACCCCAGCAGTGCTTGAGCAATTTGGGCAATATGATGCCTTTTGGTCTCTGGCCCATGAAGAAAATCACAGGTGCAAGGTTTCTGCATGACATCTGGCCTGGAGAACCCGGTCATCTCACAGAACCCATCATTGCAGTAGATGATAGCACAGTTCTGCACTCTAGCATTAGCAATGATGAATTTTTTATCTGCAATAAAAGAAAGTGATGCATTTTTTAGTACTCTTTCAACATTTCATAAAGTGTCGATTGCATGGATGGGTGCTAAACAACCATTCTTTTCACTGGAATGCCTGAAATGTAGATTTTCAGTCATTTAATGTGGCTTATTCGAGCCATAGCTTTTAAAGAAACTTCAATTAATCTAGAATATATCAAAGATGAATATAGTTGTCTTTCAAAGAAATAACATCAGATTATGCAAGTCTTTTGCAAAACTCCTTTTGACTTTAAGATTCTGTCTTTTTTAGCTTCACTGAAACCCAGGTGATGAGCTCCATCCTGTCAGCCGTAACTCCAGGAAAGTCCTTGAAAAGTTAGTAGCTTCTTTTGGGGGGAAGTGGGACTCTACTCAAGTGGAGGGCTTCCTGGGATAAGGTCCAGCCAGCTTAGTCTCCTCTGTGGGGATTTTCATTCAGGTGAGTAACAGCAGGTTTATAGTCAATATTTAACAAAACTATCTAGAAAAGACCATGACTTGTTTCTGTGATTGTTCTAGAAGTTACATTTATAAAAGAAAATATTCCTTAGGGAAAAAACCACCACCACCAAAAAAAAAAAAAAAAAAGAGTATGAAGGTCCATGAAAACCAAAAATTGTGATGTTGGAAACATCTTGCACAGTTTTCTGAAGTTCTGTGCCTCAATCATTCACCCTTTCCCAACCCTTACCTGACAGAAAGGTTCAAAAGTTTTCAACTGTTACTTGTTTCTGTTTACTGCTATAACACACTATTCCTACTGTAATTAAAAACGTGCAGCTTTACTGTTAATAACATGAATTTCTGCCACTTAATCACACTAGTAGGTCCCTTGCTTTATAAAAAACTTTTTATGTGAAACCAAGTTAGCAGTGCAGACCTTGAGAGTTTCAAAGATATTCTGTCTTTGAACGCAGTGAAATATTTGGAGAGAAAAATACAGATTTCATTCTTGTTTTTTCTGCTGTTTTGCAATTATGCTAAATTTTCACTATCACTTGCCTAGGTAGTAGGCAGTGCTTCACTCTCTTTGAAATATACATACTGCATAAAAACTTTACTCAAGTAGCAACACTGACTTAGCATTTAGATAAATTAGGACTACAAAAACTGTCTTCATTTTTTTTCCTCAAATAATATAAATATTATATTGGTAATGTGTGTTTAAGTATAATGAAGTATGTAAACTGGAGTTAGCTCTAAGGGTTTGCAGAAGACTGATACTAAAAATATGCTAAATATTTAAATAAATGTACATATATAAAAACTACTGTTTCTAAATGAAATTCATTTTAAACATCAAGTGTTCCTTCTTACTGTCAACAGTAAACCAGAGTTCAGGCCAGGAAAAACACTTCAGCTTCAGCCTCCTCGACAGGTAGTAACTGCTGCATTGGAAAAGCTCTCACAGACTCTACCTGAGGATGCATTCGCACTGATAGATATTCTAGGCTTTCATAAACAAAGCAGAAATATTTGACAGCTATACTAAAGTGCAGTCATGACAACAAGGTAAGAGTATTTTCCCTTTAATAACTCCTCTGCATGTTATCTGTTTCCTCTAAATCAAAGTCTGACTTTTCTGCTTTATTTTGGAAAGACAATGATAATTAATGGTAATTAACAATAACAATAAACCAACAATAATAATAAATCTACCTGATTTTTTTAGACATTGTACAGGCAGCAAGATTGTACACTCTGCTTTTAGAACCATCTCACCAGTTCAAAAGAAGGTAAGAATTCTAACTTCTATAGCTATACAATATGGATACAGTCAAAGATAAAAACTATTCCCTGAAATGGAAAAAAAAAACCAACCCACAACCCAATAATTCAACTCGGTAATCTGTATTCTAGCTCAAAAACAATGTTACTTCTGCCAGGGATCCCCTCCTTACTTCTGGGGTTTTCTTTCCAAGCTACAAACTTAAAATAGTCTGGAGCTGCTGTCCATTTAGTCACAAACAGAATGAAACTACTGAAGCAAAATAGACAGAAAGAGAGAACTTACTTTGCCCTTCAAATTTTCGTATGATTGTACCCAAAAATGTATTTTGTGGTGCCACATGACCTCTGCGAACAGGCATGTTTGTACCGGTCTTCGGTTTTCTGTGCACAATGACTTCTCCAAGGATTTCCTTCCTACACGGCTCCAGCCCAAATCACCGAGCCAGCTACCCTTTGTGACAAATCATCGTCCTCTGGAGCTCGGAAATCTCTTCCCATTAGCACCACTTCTAGATACAAGCTTCTCCTATTGGAGTCAGATCCATCCCTCAGTTTCTTTCTTTTTCCTTCTTTCTTTCCTTGCTTTCTTTTCTATTCTTTTCCTGGAGGAGCTCGGACGCTATTGTCTGGGGCGGGTAGGGGTGGGGTAAGCAGGAGGAGGTGGGGGGAAGATTACAAGGGTAATCGATCTCTAGCACCAAACATCGCCAATTTTCCAAAGCAAATGGCTGTGACCCGGCAGTTTCCGACGCTGTAGTGATGGTTAGAAGGCTGGAAGACTAATGTTGCTCCGCTGCCAGAGGGAGTGACGTTCCCCCCCTCCGGGCTTCTCCACGGCGCGCAGCA